TTTTTTTTTTTTTTTTTTTTTTTTTTTTTTTTTTTTTTTTTTTTTTTTTTTTTTTTTTTTTTTTTTGAAAGTTGGAATGNTAGTAAATTTAACTTTTCTTTTAAAAATTAGATTCCAAAAGAATTTTACTAATAAAATGTAATTATTATGTATGTATTAAATCTACTCAGGTACTTTATTAAATCCTTTATTAACATCCACTTGTGTTAATGCATTGTTTTTGAAGTATGAATCTAAATCATTATCCAATCTAGTTTTTACATTAGTGGATCCCATATATTTGTCTAATTCATCATCCTATTATTAAAAAAAAATTTAAACACAAAAAAAAAAAAAATAAAATAAAATAAAATAAATTTAAAAAAGAGAAAATGTATCATCAGTAACAATAGAAGTTATGACTGCCAAATAAAAAATATATTTACAATTTTGAACTACTTTATAAAAAAAGTACTAATATATTTTTTAATTTTATGTTTTATTTCATTTTTTTTTAAATTAATAAAAAATTATATAAAACTCTTATGAAATATACCAAATCTTTTGAAGTTAATTTTCCTATTTTATCATGTAAATTTTGATTTCTTTTATAAAAAAAATTTCTTCTTCTATTACTTCTAAATGAGTTTCTTCTTTTTCTAAAATTATTGTTTTTAGTTTTTCTTAGATAAAAGTCATGTTCATTAGAATTTCCAAATATTCTATCTTCGAATTTATTCCCTAATTTTCTTTTATTTCTTGAAAAAAATGCATTTCCTCTATTAAAATATTTTCTATTCATCATAGATAAATTACTACGCCCGTATTGTTTAAAAATATGTTTCCTAACATCTATTTTTTTATTATATGGAGAATATTTAAATAATTTGCCTATAAATAAAATTTATTTTTTGAAATTTAATCATAAAAAAATAAAAAGAAAAATAGCCATCTATTTAAGAAAAAAAGATAAAAAAGTATAAGTATACAACTTTTGTTCTCATTTATATTTCTATTTTTTTTTTCATAATTTTTTACAGGTATTTTTTTTTTTTTTTTTTTTTTTTTTTTTTAT